TAGCCTGAGGGAGGGCCCACAGGGCTGTAACTGTAGAAAGGTAACAGAAACACTGTTCACAGAAGACTCCAAACCAGACTCTCTTTCTTGGCCTTGATGGGCCATTTGCTGAGAGGGGGCAGGGAAGGTAATGAGGATGTGCGCGGGGAACAGAAATGCCTGCCACAGGACTGTGTTGATTTTTAGGGAGTGTCTAAAAGTCCTTGGCTTTCTCCAAGAGGATAACTCAGTCCTGTGTTGTCCTGGGGTCAGGGGAGCAGGGAGGAGAGAAGAGGGTGGAAGGTGGTAGGGAAAAAAAATAAACACCATGTGCCCTAAAAGTCCTGATACATTCAGTCCTGCAGGGAGGAAACAAACACTATAAAAATAGCGAAGCCAGCAAGAACACAGAGCCACCAGCTTCAACCCCCCACACACCAACATGCCCTCAAGGCCAGGCCACAGTGCTCAGTAACAAGGGCACCCAGAGCGAGGCTCCGACTTCGGCTCACCTCACAGCTCAGGTTGACCAGGAAGCTCAGTGAACTCTCGCTCTAAAATAGACTCACATCCTTCCTTTCCCTCCAAATTCACTGCTGCCTCTTCCACCTCTCACGGAGGCTACTGTGAATTTTCCATCTGCTTTCCCCATTTCCACTCCTACCCCCTTTAAGAAGTTCTGGTGTGGTACTATAGGATAATGCACAAGCTCGGTTTGAACTGCAAGGTCAGAGGTTCAAACCCACCAGTCACTCCTTGGAAACCTTATACAGGGTCAGAACTGACTCAATAGCAGTTAATAACAACAAACCCCTTTAAATCAATACATTTGCTATATTTGATTCACAAAATGCAAAGCTGGATTAAGTCACTTTGTGACACTCTACAAAGGCCCAGGACTCCTGTCATCCTTTAAGTTTTAACTCGAATGTTACCTCAGTGTTCTCTAACCATCAAATCTCTAAAGATACATAACACTCATTTTTGCTGTTTCCTTCACTTTTCACAATTTTACTGTTGTTGTTAAATGCCATCGGGTCGGTTACGACCCATCGTGACTCTGGGAAGCAGCTGGTGAGCTTGAACCGCCAACCTAGCAGTTCAAGCCGACTTTGCAGTCCAGCTCATTAACCCAGTGTCACACCAGGACACCTGTCATAATTTAAAACTATTTATAATTTATTTGCTTATTTACTGGCTCATCCACTAGAAAGGGATACGGGCCTTGTACTCCTGTTCTTCGTTGGGATTTCCAACACTTATAACGACGTATAACGGTCTGGCATAAAGACACCCTCAATCTGTTGAACACGTTTACTTTTTGTGCTACAACGTACTGTTAGCCTATTTTATTGATGAAAGGATTCACACCGAGCCAGAGACTTCCAGGAAGTAGCGCCAGGGAAATCGTACAGGCACAAAAGTGATAGGGTCACGTGTTCCTCGCTGCCTCTACCCAAAGCCCCAGGAATATCACGTGGTCTGCAACAGCCGCCCCTCAACTCCCGCACACTTCCCCCTGCACCCAGGCCCTTCCACTGGGGAATGGTTGCCATCTCCCTAGCCTCCTGGCTCGGGATGCACTCCACCCCCACAGCGTCTATTACCAGCTGTCCGAGTCCTCAGCGCCAGGGCTGCCGACGCCATGTTTGCTTTACACGAACTTCCGGTCTCTCGAGCGTCTGTTTTCTCTGCTAGGGGTAGTACTTCCGGGTTCTTCGTAGTACTTGAAAGGGTGGCGCGAGAAGTTGCAGGTGAGCGTTCACTATCACTGCGCGCCGGGTCGGGACAAGGTATTCCTACTGAGCTCCACTCCGCAGGGTTTGTGACCAGGGCGGCCGGAGGCTCTGCTGGGCCCTGTGGACGATAACACGCCGACGGCTCGTGCCCTGGTGCCGGCGTAAGGCGCGGAGCTTGCACGGATAGGGCTCGGTTGTCCCATTCTCTCGTTGTGCAGGGGTGAACTGAGGCCCAGCCGAGGGGACGGATGATATTCCGTTCCGCGTCAATTAGCTTTCTTCATGGAGCTGAGTGCCATATACTAACAGCTGTGTGTTCTTGGGTGGCACTGTCGGATAAACACTGGACTGCTAACCTCGAGGTTTGCGATTCAAAGCCACCAGCCACTCGGAAACCCTATGCAGGGTCGCTATGAGTCGGAACCGATCTCGACGGCACTTAACAGTAACATAGATGTGCTGGGAGCACGGGGGCTCTGTAGGATAAGCACTGGACTGCGAACCACAACGTCTGTGGTTAGAACCCACCAGCAGCTCCGTGGGCGAAAGATGAGACTTTCTGCTTCTGTCAAGATTCGCAGCCTGGGAAACCCTCTAAGGGGTCACTGTGAGTTGGAACCTACTCCACGGCACTTAACAATGACAATAGATGCGTTGTTTCATTTAATTCTCACAATCCAATTAAGTAGGGGTTTTTGTTTGTTTGCAAACATTCATTGTGGTTTGAGTGAAGGTTTTCAGAGCATATTATTTTCCCATTCAATTTATACACGTTCTGTTGCTTGACATGGTTGCTATCCCCTCAGTTAGCCCATGTTTCCTGTTTTCTCAACGTTTTTTTGTAAATCTGCCCTTTTGGACTCCATGGTTGATTGATCTGAGGAGCATCCTCCTGGTGGTAGTTGTTATTAGTCATTTTCTAGGCCTGTTGTTTGGCTGAAAGGTAATATCTGGGAGTGGGTTCCGTTTCAGGTTTGAGGGGTGTCTAAGGATTCCATTTGTCTCTATCAGACCAATAAAGTGTGATCTTTTTTATGATTTAAAATTTTCTGCATCCCCTCCCCCATCCACCCACCCATCCAGGACTTTCTGTTGTGATCCAGCGCAGTTCTTTTGCAGACTTGTGGAGGCCTGGGTTCATGTGGTCCATTAGTCCAATGGACGAACGGTTTCCCTCAATTTTTTATTTTCTTCACTCTTCTTTGCTCCAGGTGGGAAGAGCCCAATAGTCATATCTCAGATGGCAGCTTGCAAGCTTTTAAGACCCCACTTGCTAAAGTAAATGTTATTAATTACTGAAGAAGAAACAGGCCCACAAAGTTACATGACTCACCCAGGGTCACACCTTGGTTAATAAATGTTTAAAATGATGTGTGCATGTTGTTGTGTGCTGACAGCTTAATTCCAACTGTAGGACAGGGTAGAACTGTTGTACAGCATTTCCAGGTCTTTTCTGTTGCACCTACAGACTTTGGGATTAACTACAGACTTTGGGTGAGCATCCATGTGCTTAACCACTGTGCCACAGCACTTGAGTTTTTTGCATATGACCCAAGAAAACCTGCCCACACAAAAACATGTACACAAATGCTCATAGCAGCATTACTCGTGAGAATCCCAAAGTGGAAACAAGCCAAATGCCTATCAAGTGATGGATAAACGGATAAAGAAAATGTGGTCTGGCCATAAGTAATGAAGTAGTGATACAGGCTGCATCATTAATGAACCTTGAAAACACACTAAGTGAAAGAAGCCAGTCATATGATTCCACTTACGTGAAAGACCCAAACAAACTTGCTGCCATGGAGTCAATTCCAACTTATAGTTACCATAAGTAGTTGTTGTTGTTAAGTGCCGTCGAGTCAGTTCCGACCCATAGCGACCCTGTACAGGGTTTCCGAGGGTGTAGAAAAACCTCATCTTTCTCCCGCAAAGCGGCTGGTAGTTTCAAACCTCTGACCTTAAGGTTCGCAGCCCGATTCGTTACCACTACGCTGCCATAAGTAGTAGTAGTTGTTAAATGCCATCGAGTCAATTCCAATTCATAGTCACCCTGCATAGGGTTTCTGATGCTGTAAATCTTTACAGAAGCAGAAAGCCTTATCTTTCTCTCCTGGTAGTTTTGAATTGCCAACCTTGAGGTTAGCAGCCTGACTCGTAACCACTATGCTACCAGAGCTCCTTACAGTGACCATATACGACAGAATAATAGTGTTCCTTAGAGTTTTTGAGACTGTAAATCTTTACGGGAGCAGATAGCTCCTGAAGAGCAGCTAGTGGGTTTAAACCACTGACTTTGTGGTTAGCAGCCTAGTACTTAACTATCTTATAAAATGCCCAGGACAGGCAAGTGAAAGAGACAGAAAGTAGATTAATGATTCCCCGGGGGCAGGAGGAAGAAGGGAATGGGGAGTAACTGGTAAAGGTGTCTTTCTAGGGTGGTAAAAATGCTCTGGAATTAGATCATGATGATGGGTTTCCAGCCTTGTGATTAAACTAAGAATCATTGAACTTTCCCTTTAAAATGATTTTATGGTATGTGAATTTTCTCTCAATTAAAAAGAAAATGAATGACTCTTGGCCTCTCCCTCTCAAATGCAGAGATAAGCAGGAGAGTGGCATTGAGTCTTGTTACTACCTCCATTAAAGTTTGTATTGTAACTGCTACTTCTTTTCTATCTCACCTTGTCCAAGAAGGGATTTGAGGAGGGTTTCTTGTTAGACTAAGGAGCCCAGGCATTTAGCTGCAAACCCACCAGCCACTCTGCTAGAGAAAAACCTGCAGTCTGCTCTCATAGAGATTGGTGGCTGTGTGCTGTGGAGTCAGTAACAACGCATAGTGACCCGGTATAGGGTTTCCTAGGCTGTAAGTCTTTATGGGAGCAGAGAGCCTCATCTTTCTCCAACGGAGCGGCTGGTCGATTGAAACAGCTAACCTTTTGGCTAGTAGCTCAGTTGGTAATCCACTATGCCACCCAAGTTTGAGTTTTTTCCCACAGAGATTACAGCCTAGAAAATGTGATGGGCTGTTTGCTCTGACACACACAGCTGCTGTGAGGTGGAATCAAGTTGATGGCACACAACAAGCCTGTTAGGCCAAAGGTCAAGTTGTTCTGAGTTCCAGGTTGAACATGTTGGGGCAGAGAAATTGTTACTATATTATCTCAAATTGATTTCCATAAAGCATGGCCATAAAACAGTGTAATGGAGTGAATTGAATGTCACACTGTCTTATTTCTCTCTCTGTCTTCCTTTAGGTAATTAAATTGATAGCACACATTGATGGCTCTAACAAAGTCATCTCTCTTCCTGGATTCCAATGAGAGTGATACCGAGGAGTTGCCAACATTTGCCTTTCTAAAGAAGGAGCCATCTTCAACACAGAGAAGGCAGCTTCAGGGGGAGAAGGTCACAGTAATTAACGTCTCAGATTCAGAAACTGTCACATACACAAAGCCTGTCAGGATGCTAAGCAGTGAAAGTGACAATGAAGAGAATGAAGAGGAATTCGTTCCACTGGCTGAGAGACTTAAGTGTCGGTTTTTGACCTGCAAACAGTTGAGCCCTGAGGGCACTAATTCCCCAATTTCACGCATATTGGGTCATCAAAATAAGGAAGGCACATTATGTGACTGGAAAAAAAAAACCTTTCCAAAGGTCCCTGCTATTCCCCTCCATGATACCTCAGAGAGGGCTGCTTCAAATAACAAGGGCCCTGCCTTAGATGATCCATGCCCTCAGCTTTCAGCATACCAACCTACCTGCTCTGTCCAGGGCAATAGCTTGTCAGTAACAAAAACAAATTCTGAGGTCCCCCTACCTCAGAAGAGAGCCAAGCACAGTTATAAGGTTCAGGGAAGAGACTGGCAGGGATGTCGGCAGCAGGGACAAGTGAACCAGAAGGAAAGCACCCTGAGGCAACAGGAGAGGACGAGGAAGCCATTGAAGGAAAACAGGGGGACCACCCAGAGGCCAGAGGAGTGCTTAAAGCACATGGCTGCAGTGCTGGATCCAGGTCCTTCTCACATCCTTCACCCTGTGCTGTGTTTCTGCTTTCTGAGCCGCCCACTGACGGCCTTTCCCCCATCTGTTGCAGAGCTCTTACAGATGGAAGGTGGGGGCCAGCTCCTTGGGGCGCTGCAGTCCATGGAGTGCCGCTGTGTGATTGAGGCGCAGGCTGTGCCTTGCAGCATCACTTGGAGAAGGGCTGGGCTGTCTGAGGTAGGGGTTTTCTGGCTGAAATCTCATTCCCTGCATTTAGAGGGTAAATGGCTTTCTATCAGTGAGGTTTGTTGTAGTTAAGTGCCATTGAATTGGCTCTGACCCATAGTGACCCTGTGTAGGGTCTCTGAGGAGCAACTGGTGAGTTTGAACCACCAACCTTGTGGTTCAAACCGGCTTTGCAGTCCAGCGTGTTAACCCACAGCGCCACACCAAGACCCCTATCAGTCAAGTACCAGTAGGGAAATAAATGACACACTCAACTCTTGTTAATTTGAGGAGGGTTTAATAAAGGGATGGTTCTCCAAGGAAACCCCGAGGGGTGGTACAGTGCCATGGTGCAGGGCTTGGCAGCCTCTGTGGCTGCTGACTCTTTAGACCACTCGTAGGGCAGGAGGGCGGGCAGCAGCCCTCCCTAGTTGTGACAACCAAAAATGTGTCCAGATACTGCCAGATATCTCTTGGGGGAAATGCCATCGCTGGTTGATTATCTCAGCGTAACTATTGCCATCCTAAGCTTGAAGGGATGAGGGGAGTCATTAACCCTTAGAGACACTTTGACTTCCAGTAGAGAGGTATAGCAAACCCTAGACAATCCCACTGGGAGGGGGTCAGGGAACTAAAGAGCCTGGAAGTCACTCTCCACTCTCCCTCTCTGGAACTCCTCACAGACCACACCTCCAGAGGGATCAGTCTCCTTAGGCAGAGAGCGAGTGTGGAAGGTGGAGAGTGGACATGTGGCCAGGAAAGGTCACTTGCACAGGATCCCTACTTGTTAAGTGTCTTTGGCAGCAGGATGATTTGCATATCAATCCCAGCTTAATAGCTTTATTGCTATGACCCTAAGCAAGTTACTCATCTCTGAGCCTCAGTTGCCTTGTCATGAACGAGGACATTGTTACTACTGTCTGCTCAGTCCCCCTGTTATGGGAACCAAGCGAAATAACCCAGCACTGAGCACATAGTGGACACACAGTAGCCAACCTTACCAGGTCACCACAACTCCTGTGCTTTTCACACCTGTTCATATGTGGACCCAGCGTAGTCCACCCCTTGTTTTCAAGTCTATACATGAGACACGGAGGTTGCTTCCTCTCTGGGACTCCATACTTTTCTCATTACACTTTAATTTAAAGGTAAGCACACCTTTGTGTTCACATGGCACCATGTCCTTTCAAGACAATTCCACATTTTCTCTTGTGTTTCAGTCACCGTGGTCCTGTAAGATGTGGAGGGCATTCTCAGTAGGTAAGACACAGGTGCAGAGAGGTAGCAGAGCCTCGTTCAGGCTGACCACCTACTAATGACTGAACCTAGGGCTTCTGTTCCCTGACACTTTGCTCTATCAGGGTTCTTGGGTTTCGCTTGCAGAAATCCAATCAGAAAAGTTTCAGAAAGTTCCACTCCCCAATTACCCTAGTGCCCCTGGGTCTAGGGTTGCTTATACCTTACCGGTGGTGACGAGAAGATACCCTCACAGACAGAAGTTTCCCTGTGATCCTTTGTCACACAAAACCTCTATGTTTGTAAGGGCCGCTCACAGTTGGCTTCCACCTGCACAGCCCGAGTTACTTATTTGTACCAAACCCTTTGCATTTCCTTTCACTCCATCTCCTCTTCAAAATGTGTAGAAAAAATGGCAGTTAACTTTTCAGCCCATTTCAACATGCTATTGTCCCTTACTTACTGCCACTAGATGCAGCCCACCAAGGCTGAAAAATTGGGGTCTGGGGAGGGGCAGGACAGAGGCTGCTTCTTGCCACTGTGACTTCATTCTGGAAAAAAAAAAAACAGTCGGGGCTAGGCTGACAAGGTGAGCGCATACACCCAACTCCTGCTGGTCCTCAGTGTCTGCTGACCCAGCCCCTCTGCTGTGTCCACCCCCTTTGGCAGGATGGAGGAGAGGACTGGGCAGAAGAGCCAGTAGTCCTGGTGCTGCTCCTGGCAAAAGCAGTTGTGTCCAGAATCACCAACTTAAAGCAGGTAGGTTGGCCCACGGGCAGGGCTGAGGCCTGGAGTAGAGGGCTGACTACAAGGAAGGAAGTATCAATGCAATGTCTGTCCCTTCATGCAGGAAAGCTTGGGTGACTCCAACAAAGGGAAGGAAGCACTTCGGAGTTTTGTAGTGGACGTCAGCGCAAAGACAACAGGGAAAGCTCTGTCCTTGGTGATTGTGGATCAGGAAAAATGTTTCAGGTTTGGGTTTGTTCTTGAGACTTTAGTGTTGGCAGCTCATGGGCCAACAGAGCTGGATGGTTTCAAGTCTGGGTCACTCTAAGATAGCATCCTTACAGGCCTTGTAGGATGCTCTGGTCTAGCAGTCTCCTCACTCCTCTCTACCTGTGTTAAGTGTGGGACTGCTGTCCCTCTTTGATTTCCTCCCCTGCTACAGTGCCCAGAATCCTCCAAGGAGAAGGAAACAGGGAGTGACAAGTAGAGACCAGGCCAAGGAGAAGCAGAGACCACCAGAGGGCAACTCAGGGTCCAGGCCTCTGGTTACCAGGGTAGACTTGGAAGAGGTAAGAACTTCCTGTTGCCCAAGCCCAGCTGAGTACCCCACTAGTCATCTGAGCAGATTTGCTACTGAAGAGAATGAAATGCCCACTGAACACCCCTTACTGCCTCGGCAGTGAGTCTGAGAGAAGGGGCCAGTCGGGGTTCCAACAGGCTGGGATGTGGTTTCAGTGGACAGCGAGAGAATGTGAAGCATCTCTCTCTGCCCATTTTTGGACTTCCAGGCACTGGTGGATCTGCAGCTCCACACAGAAGCCCAGGTTCAGATTCTGCAGAGTTGGAAAGAGATGGCTGACTATGCATGCACATTCACAAAGGCAGTGGCTGAGGCACCCTTCAAGTAAGTGCTGGGACCAAGTCCAGCCTCTGGTGCAGGGCCTTGTCATTTACGGTGGTTCTTGAAGCCAGAGAAAAGGTCCCTTTTCCCAAACTCTGTGGTTAGCCCATTGTCTCTCAGGCTTGATACAGGAGCTGACCTCATGCTCAAAATTCTTGGGAAGAACCTTTAAGGCCACAGTCTAGCCCCTTTAAAAATACTTTCCACTTGCTGGGAGTTTGAAGTTTGTGTTCTGCAGGTTGGTCCTGGTTTACTACCATTAGCTAAGATGCCAGGATTCTTTATACACTAGATCAAAAATATAATAAACCCTAGTAAAATAAATTTTGAGCCTGCTCAATTCAAAGAATGTTCACAATCATAGTTGAAAATTATCAATGAATTAGAAAGAAAATTAATAAGGAATCTCAAAAATGATCTAGTGTAAGGCCCTCATTGAAGGAATTGAGGCCTGAACAGATTAACTAAGTGTCCAGCAAGTTACAATGAGAACCAGACTCCAGACTACCTGATACCCGGTCCCTTGTGCTTAGCCCTCTGCCACACCATCTCTCTGGGTGGGACAACCCTATTTTAATACAAGAGAACCTGGGCTTTCTGATACCTTCTTCCTAATTAAACATACAAGGAGCTCTGGTAGTGTAGTGGTTACGAATCGGGCTTCCAGCCTCAAGGTCAGCAGTTCAAAACTACCAGCTGTTCCGCAGGAGAAAGATAAGGCTTTCTGCTCCTGTAAAGATTCACTGCTTCGAAAACCCTGTCCAGGGTCCAACTCTGGGTTGGAATCGACTCCACGACACATATTAAACATACTAGATGTGGTTTTTAAGGAAATTAGCAACTTAGCACTGCACTTTAGAACAAACGGATCCAATTGTCAAGGGTCAGACATTATGACCACCTCTTCTGAGATCAGGGTTTCTGAGTTCTCAGATGAGGGAATGGGTGCAGGAGAGAAGCAACTGACTCACAGCTCCCCACCTGTGCTGTTTTCAGGAAGCTCCGAGATCAGACTGCTTTCTCCTTCTGTCTGGAAAGTGACTGGGCTGCAGGAGGGAAGGTGGACAGTTCTGGCAGGGGCCTTGCCCTGGTCTGGAGGAGACAGATTCAGCAGCTGAACCGAGTCAGCCTGGAAATGGCCAGTGCCATTGTGAATGCCTACCCGTCCCCCCAGCTCCTGGCTCTGGTAAGCTGTGCTAGAGGATCCACCACCAGTGCCCCATGGTGCCACTCAGGGTTCAAGAATGCCTTGAATGGCAGCAGTGGTAGGGCTGCTGAAATCTGCGGTTAGTGTGGATTCAGGGAGGGTGGGTAGGTTCTCATGCCCCAACCCCAGTTTACTGCCCTCTTTGCAAGGATGAGGGATGGCTGTGACTGGTGTGTGGCACTAAGCGGTCATTTACCACTCGACTTTCAGGCCTACCAGCGGTGTTTTTCAGAGCAAGAGCGCCAGAATTTGCTTGCAGATATAAAAGTTCGACGTGGGGTAGGTGTGACCTCCACCTCCCGTCGTGTTGGACCAGAACTGTCCAGGCGTGTCTACCTCCAGATGACAACCCTGCAGCCAGATCTCTCTCTAGATGGTACGGATTGATGTTGCTCTCAGGGAGGACAATGAAAAGCTAGAGATGCCCCTCGCCCACTGGAACTATGAGACCGCCACAGCCTGGAAGTGCCTCCTAGAGCACAAGCCCAGGTCAGGCCCACAGCACCTTCCCTAAGTGTAGTCATCACGATGGTCCATCAACTCAAACCGACCGGGTGTTTGCATTTACTGCCACCAGAAAGTCAGATGCTATCACCAACCACCCCCACCAATCCCATACAGCACAAAGGAACAACGATAGACCACTCAGACACATTTAATAATTGTAGAAATCCAAAAGAACCTCAGCATGAAATCTCAAAGTTGTGAACTGGTGTCTGTGGGTCGGCTTGACTAGGCTGGGTGTACCACAGCCCTCCTCTCACCCACGGGCTGCCTCCACCAGCGAAGGAGCAGGAGTAGGATCACTATGCTGACTTCTGTATTATCTTGATCATACATAGTTATGTGTTTAGTTTCAATAAAGCATTTATACCAATGGCTCTGGAGCTTGGAGGAAGACTAAAGGAACATGTAGTGATTCTGGTAGGATGGGAACCTACACAGCAGAGCAATCCTTGGGGGAGAGCAGAGTAAAGCTGTTCTGGTTTCAGGACAGTCAAGAAAAATCAACCTACTCAAATGGGCCACTAGGACTAGGAAGTGGGACCCTGCCCTATCAACAGTGACAAGGTCTTGCTCTCTCTGGGAGAGGCAAGTTGTTTGCTGTTAGTAATTTTCAGTGACTGGACCCCAGGTCACAATTATTTCTAATCCCTGCGTCCAACCATTGTGGAAAAGAGACAAAGGTAGATGTGGAGTGAGAAAATGCTTAAATCTACAGATGAGAGGCCAGTCAGTGCCGCCCTTCTGTGTGCTGTCATTAATGTCTCAGCTTTCAGCTCCATGATGCCACTTGTCTCTCTTCAAAGAGGTGTGATGACAGGTCTAAAATCAATTCTAACTCTCAGTCCCCATGAAGCGGAGTTTTCAGGCTGCCTTTGAGGTATTTGTCACACCAACTACTGACAGACATGTTACATGACGTGGCTTTGCAAAAGAAAGGACTACTTTTCAGGCTCTTTATCAGCAATGAAGGAGTTAATGCTCTAAAAGTGTGAGGCAAGGAGGCTGGACTGTTCCCATCTTATGGAGGCCCTCAGTGGCTGGGCCTTCTGTTTGAATCATGGATCTGTACCATGAGATTGCAGACTAGCTGAGACACAATTCTGATGAATTCTGTTCTCTGAAGACATAAAGGAGGCAATAATGCTGGAAAGAAAAGAGTACTGGAGTGGGAAACCAGTTCTGCCTCAAACTGGAAGTATCTTGACGCCCTTTTCACAGGCTGGGATTTTGTGAGGTCACTAAATGTCTAAGGAATGTCTGACACCTTTAAGAAAATAGGTACACCTCCTTCCCCAGTGTAGGCTGGATTTGCTCTGCGTGTATGGTGCTCCCCTCTTGACCAGCACACAGGGATGGGCTGGTAGAGGAGGTCTGTGAATACGAAAGTGTAAACGTAGTGAGACCTGACCATGGAGACAGGAGTCTTGCCTTTACAGATGAGTAACAACAGAAAGGCTGGTCTCCTCTCCCCACCCCCAGGCCCATTCCTTCAGTCATGCAGGTAACTCCTCCCCCCACCTCCCAGTTTTCCTTATTCCACAGGGACCCCTGACTAAGGAACCAAGAAGTCCTACAGAAAGGAGGTCTCCAGTACCAATCGGCAGCCATTTGATGGTGGCAGATAGGTCGGACGCTAACGAGAGGTTGTGTCCAGCAGAACCCAATTCCATAGGAATCCAAGCTCCAAGGCTGGGGATGGGGAGGCAGCAGGTGTGGAGGACAAGCTCACTGCTTCGAATCGGTCTGGAGGACCCACTGGAGGATCTCATGGCTGCGCAGACCCTGGAGCGCATTGTCGTAGATGGTGTTCACGCTGGTGCAGATGGGCTGCCGCTGCAGCTCTGTGACCCGGCAGGCCACCAGCCCGCCAGCCACACAGAACAGGAGCAACAGTAGCAGCAGCTTCAGCACAGCCCAGGAGCGATTGTGTTTCCGGGGCGGTGGCTTGCGGGGGCGGGAGCCAGACTTTGATTCTGGAAGGGCGATGTCAGAGACACAAAAAAGTCAGTTAGCTAGAGGAGAGCATATTCTACCCATCTATGCCAGTCTCCACCCCACCCCACCCCCCTTGTAGCCCTCTTCTGGCCCTAAGAGAGGAAACTGAAGATTCTGAACGCTTAGAAACTTTACTCTCCAGAGGATGAAACACATGCCTGCTCCCTTAGATCTCAGGGGAGTAGTTCTGAAATTGAACTCCTTTGTGTCTCCTGAAGCTCACAGTCCCAGGGCCAGAAGAGGACCACAGGGGAGGAGCTTATCAGGAAGCACCGATTTGGGGAAATGGGTTTGAGATGTATTGGTATCGCTGTGAATGATGTTATTCTTCAATATGCCTACAGAAAGGTGATACTGCTAGGTGATAGATAATACAGGTGTTGCAATTTTCTGAAATGTATAAAACTTCTTAAAACAACTTTTCAAAATTCCCTGCAATAAGCATCAATTTCAGTTATCACTCAATACCTGCAGGGGGCGGTTCCAGGACCCCCCTCAGATACTGAAACCCACAGATGCTCACGTCTCTTAAGATAAGATGGGGCAGTGTATACACATATCCTCCCATACACTTCAAATGCCAATACAACGCCAACACTCAACACTGCTTTCCACTCCCTCCTAGCCTTTCAGGGACTGCTTTAACCATTTATTGCATTTTTATGGGAATATTTTTTATCGAAAGTGACTGAATCTGCGAACATGGAACCTGTGGACACACAGAGTTCATTTTAAATGAGAGAAAAAACTGGTTTTGAGATTTTTAGGCAAAAATGTTCAAAGCTTGCCTGAGTGCCAACGGTGACAAGAACTGCCCCGTCCTGTCATAAAGATTTTATTGTGTAATCCTTACCACTACCCTGTAGTAGGCATACCTACCAACCTCACTGTACAAAAGGAAACAAAATGGGGCTGAAGTTAGGCAAGTGGGGCTGGGGCAGGGGCAGGGACAGGCCTCTGGCCTCCATGCAGAACACCTTCCCTCTTAGGTGACTGCTGAGAAGCCCCTGTAGACCCGGAGGGTGTAGGATCCTCCCTGTACATGGAGCCTCAATACCACATGCACTTGACCTAAGCAAACCCACTGGATATATTCATAAGTAGACATACACTACAAAGCATTTTTCATACAACATGGCTTCCTAAATGTAGCCAAATGATTATACTGGTGTACAAGCAGAGTTCCAACTCAGTGCAACCTGTTCTGACTCAGAAAAACAACTTACCGCAACCCTTCCAGACTCAGAGCGTCCACACTGTCCAGCAGGAGGGCAGGAGGGACGTTCCGGGTCATTTGGGCAGGTATGTTCTGCCTTCTCAGTGGTTTTAGGACCTAACCCCTAGAAGCAGAGTGAAACCACATCTGACCAAAACACCTGAACTCAAGTACTGGTTGTGGGGGGGAACAAAGCAGTCAGCTACTTGTTTCCTACATGCCAGGGCTTGGTATCCTTCAAACCCTCCCAGGGCTGTTCCTGAGCTAAGGAATTATCTTGTTAAAGGCTTGCAAGCACACGCACTCCCCTATAACAGAAAACATCAGTCTCCTGACTGCTGGAACCTTGTATAGGAAAACTTACTTGGGGCCTGGTTGGTTTCCTTCTTAGGTTTCTTCTCCTGTTCCCGCTTGGAGGCTTTGAGGGCATCATACTCCTTTCTCCGACGCTCCTTCTCTTCGGCCTTCTCCCGCTTCCGCAGCTCCCGCTCTTGAGCCTCCTTGGCTCGCTGTTTAGCCTCCCGCTTCTTTTCCACCTCTAAACCAAAATACACCCAAAATGACTTCTCTCCCACAAAACCTTGTCTGCCTTCCCAAATGACAGAAAGAGTGGACTCAGCCTTCTTTTTCCCTTATGCCATGAGTCACATAAGAAATATTACAAGGAAAGCAACTCTTTTTGCTCTCTAGGAAGTACCCCAAACTCATCACTGTTGAATTCGCATGGTGACTCTATAGGACAGAGAAGAACTTCTCCAAAAGCTTCCCCAAAACTGTAATCCTTACAGAAGCAGACTAGCACATCTTTCTCCACAGTTTGTCAGGTAGGTTCGAACTACAGACGTTTCGGTTAGCAGCCAAAGTGCTTTACTGTGCCAGCAGGATTGCTGTCCAGGAAGTAAGGCTTCCCTAAAATACAATGAGCTGTTTTCACAGTTAACTGCCTGGACTCCTTTCTAGCAGCTTCCCAGCCACCAGCAGTGGAGATAGAGTAAAACACCAAAAGGGAAAAGAAGGCAGGGTGAGGAGTCCGCTGCCCCTTCTAGAAGAATCAGAAGGCACAACAGCTTATCCATGTAGGACTCAGATAAGAAGAAAAGAAGCCACGGAGGACTAAGTCTCTGGGATTTAGCTTCCCACGCTTGAGAAATGAGTGTGGCAAGATGAGGGCAAGGAAGTAGAGAAAACGAACACTTCAGTTTAGGAGTACAAAGAGTGGAAATGTTTGCTACAAGTTTCACTGTAAACATGACACTAAGTTTGTCAGACTAGTTTTTAGATTTCAACTTGGGAATCTACGTAGCATATTCTCATTTACTTAACAGCTCAAACACATTTACACAAGTACCCAATTTACAATTTACTGTTGGGGTTGCTTCGTTCAGTGATGAGAGTTCATAGGCCAAAACAGCTCCCTAAAATCCAATACTCCCTTGTACTACAAAGTTACCTGCACTCAGGTGTTCAAACCTGAAATCAGTACTGGGCTAAAGTAAATATGTGGCTAAAGTGAGTTGCACCTCCCCTTGTTTATGGAACAAGGCCAAGAGGCGGGCAGGCCTGGCTCATATGCAGCCTTGTCTGTCACGTTGGCAAGTTTGAATTTAACCCCAAAGTGCAATGGAATTAGTGTTTTAAGCAAATAGCATTTCTGGAGAAGGGATGTGTGATGGTGGCATTTGTGAAGACAGGACTTTGTGTGCTATAACTAGTCCACAGGTCTTGGTTATAGTGGTGCCAGCGGAGGTGGAAAGGTTGGTCAGAGTTCTTGCTGACAAGACAGGACAGAAAAAAGGGGCCCAAAACCTTTCCAATTTCAGGTCTGAACGTCTATATGGATAGTAATTTTCTATTAAGAAGAAACACTGGGGTTTAGGGATCTGTTTTGGCTATGTTGAATTTCAGATGCCTAGGAGCTCTGGTAGCGTAGTGGCTATGAATCGGGCTACGAACCTTAAGGTCAGCGGTTCGAAACTACCAGTCGCTCCGCGGGAGAAAGATGAGGCTTTCTACTCCCATAAAGATTTACACCCTCGGAAGCCCTGTACAGGGTCGCTATGGGTCGGAACCGACTCGACGGCACTTAACAACAACAACAATGAACTCTGGTAGTGTAGTGGTTACGAATCGGGCTGCAAACCTTAAGATCAGCAGTTCGAAACTACCAGCTGCTCTGCGGGAGAAAAATGAGGCTTTCTGCTCCTGTAAAGATTTACAGCCTTGGAAACCCTGTACAGGGTCACTATGGATCGGAACCAACTCGACGGCACACAACAACAACAAGGAACTCACCAGTGAGTCCTGGTGACCCAGTGTTTAAAGTGCTTGCCTGCTAACCAAAAGGTCAGCAGTTTCAATAACTACCTGCTCCCCCAGAGAGAGATGTGACAGTCTGCTTCCATACAGCTTACAACCCGGGAAACCCTGTGGGCAATTCTCTGTACTCTAGGGTCACCGGGAGTCGGCACCAACTTGACAGCAATGGATGTGGTTTATGAACTCGCCAAGCAGAGATGAGCAGTTGATGACTGGAACTCAAAGTTAGAAAGCCGGGATTGGAGGCAGTGACCCATCAGACAAGGATGGGACATCTACCACCACACTGCTCCCCGCTGCTCCTCAAGTCCTGCTGTGGATTTCAGCTCCTGCAGCATCGGAACCAGCTGGCTGGGGGAAGTGTCTGCATGGTGACTGCTGTTGTTCAGTGACGTCGAGTCAGTTCCGACTCATCGCGACCCTGTATGGGCTTCCTATGAGCGGCTGGTGGGTTTGAACCACCAACCTTGAGGCTAGCAGTCCAGTGCTTATCCTACAGCACCACACCAGGACTCCCTGGTAAAGTGACTAGAAGACCTACCTCGTTCAACTTCCAGCCGCCGCTGCCTCTCTCGCTCCTGGTCAGCCTGCACAGCCTTCATGTGCTGTAACACCTACAGAGAGGAGAAAGGTTCTCAAGGACTTACAGCAGGGCTCGGTTCCAACAACTCCATCAGAAGGCAGTTCTCACCTAAGTCGAATACCATTTTTTAATTTTTTTTTAAAGTTTTCATTATCATCTATTATCTTTTATTATCAGTGTTTTTATAAATGCAATCTTTATTATCTTTGGGGGTTGGCATGAGAATAGTAACAATAGCAAATTACAAGAGGTTAACAATGTATGTAGTACATATTACTGATGTTAAGATGTACCAAAAAGCCAAAAACAGACAGTGGTAAGTAAGTGTGGTTTATAGTAAATAGGAATGCGTCCTAAGTCAGAGACTCCCCATAGTCGTCCCAGCTCACACTGGGGCCTGTGATACAGACAGAGAGGAAGGAGAGCATCCAGGAAAGGGCCCAAAGACTACACAAATGTACTCAGCACCCTGAGTTCCCAAACTCTCACGGGCTCAGTCATGCTCTCTCACTAAAACAGCTGCAAAGAGTCTCACTATAGGCATGACTAGGGTGGGAGTAAAAGGCCTTTGTTGCTCTTTACCTTGGAAGCAGGAGGCAGAGTGTAAGCTTGAAAACAAACAGAACTGTGCCTCTACCGTGTGTGTGACCTTGGCAAACTAGCTAATCTTCCTGAGCTGATTTCCTTCTCTGGAAAATGCAGATAAGCTGCACTGCTGTGAACATTAGATAACTTTTACATAATCCTGGCATTATATATGTTTTTACCCTTCCTTATGGAATTAGAAAAAGAACCTAAATTAGGATGGCAAAAGCATCCGCACTAGACAAACTATATGACAGAAACATGCATTTAAATACCTTTCTCTGTGTTTCTTGGAAACTCTAGAAACATGTACACTCATTGTATAAGGACCTCTGAACAGGTCTGCAAAAGCAGCTCCCTCAAGAGCCTGGTTTGTCCCAAGTAACCTACGTATAACCTGGACCTGCTGGCATCTCTCTGAAGGGAGGGAAGCTTACTATAGAGATAGCTGCTCAGCAAGGGGGAGCCAGATCCGAGGAAAGTGAAGCCCAGTGTCAGGAGACAGCCTAACTAACCCAAAGTCCCTCTGAACTCTGATGAAATACGCACAACCACTTCGTTGGCTTATGAAGTGTGTGGCTAACTAAAGAGGTAGAAGGTTTAAGAAATACCCCTTTTTACCTTGTGCCATCATGAGTTCAGAAATGGGAGAAACTAGACTAAGGGTGGATTTTTATCTACTTCCCCCATTTCACAGTACACAGTAGGCACTTGATGATTTTGTTGGACTAAAAAAATTTTTTTTTGAAAGATGCTTTGCTTTGTACCAATTTTATCTGTCCTGGTAGTATATGTAGTGTGTTACATACTGGGCTGCTAACTGCAAGGTCAGCAGTTCAAATCTACCAGCAGCTCTGCATGAAAGAGGAGGTTTCCTGCTCCCATAATATCTGCAGGGTCGCTAGGGGTTCGAAGTGGCTTGACAGCACACAGCAGCAGCAGTCTGATCTGTTATGATGACTAACGCACGTGACCACAATGACTGAGCTGTGAGCCCTCATCAACTCCTAGAGACAAGTGATCTCATCACTGAACGAAGCAACCCCAACAGTGCCTGACAAGGTGCTGTGGAGACAGCTGAGGCTCTGGCGCTCTGGTACCAGGGAACACATCAGGAAGCACAATGCCATCAGGAGCAATGTCTGAGCAAAAACGGGTCTACCAGCAATCCCCTGTGGTTCAACATATTTGATGAATGAATGAGGTATGTGCAAGCTGAGGGCGCCTCATGTTAGAGAAATGGCAGTAATACTTACTTCCCAGGATCATGGGGATTATTAATGACACATGTAAACTGTGCAGGACGAAGGAGTAATCGGTGTAGCTATTTAACTTTAGGAATAGACAGCACTTCTAAAGCACCAAGTTTCCACCTGGATTTCACTATGTCCCACTCCCAGTAAAGGGCCTCAGCTTCTTGGTAGAAGCAGCTCTGAGCTAACTATAAGAAAGTCACTACTTTTGAGATTCAGAGCAGAGACCCATCATAGACACACCTAACTATAGCATTTCAAGTCTTTTTTGTTCACCATGCCCTCTAAATATAGCTGATAAGTCATCTGGCACTCAGCTGAAGCTGCAGCATCTGTCCCAAAGACAGAGGGGAAATGACTGTAGCTGGAGGCAGTGAGAGATGTGTAATGTTCTTAATGCCAGGTAGCTGGCCACAGGCAATGTTTGCCTTCCATGCTGACATAAGTACTCACGCCCATGTCAGATGACACAATTGATGTCAAATGCCAGATCAGCCCAGGAAGCCTGTCTGCTTATGGCTATCAATGTATAAATATGACCAGCTTTACTGCAAAATTGCTACATTAACTGTGGCTCAGAAATGCTTCAGCCCCTAGCCCTCTTGTCTCACTAAAACAACAGTCCACATAGTGCAGTGGTGGATTCTGCAAGCTTCTGCAGTAGAGTAGAACACTTTTGTTCTAAGAATTGTGAAGCAAATACAGAAACACAGGTCTCTACTCCACAGGCTCACAGTGGACAGTTCTCACTGAGTGTCATTCTTTAATCAACACATAGTTACAGGTGTCCTGGGAAGGAAAAATAAGCTAAGGAGAGGCCAGCCCTGGGGAGCATGAAGGAGATACCCGGGAGGGTTTCGGGCTTACCTTGTTTGCACACTGCTTGCACTGCTTCTCATCCAAGCAATCACCTGCCACTTTGGCCAGGGCAGGGTCCAGCGGGTTATCCTTCAGGTCCAGCCACTTCAGACTCTAAAAAGATGGGTTCACAGACAGAGTTCCTCAAGGTGGAACACAATGAGGAATCAGCAAGTCTGTGTGTGTTCCAGCTGCAGGGAAAGCCACTTGGGACTGGGCAACAAGGTGGGATTTCTGCAGCAGCCCTGCTTACAACCACGCCCCGTCAGTCCCTGAGCCCTTTGCTACACCTGGCTGTGAATCATTGGTTCATGAATTGTTACCTTGAGCTGAGCAAAGCTGACAGGCAGGGTGACCAGCCTATTGTTGAGGAGATCCAGGTGCTGGAGGTTGACCAGTCGGCCAAAGTCCGCTGGCAGCTGCTGCAGCTTGTTTTTACTCAGATCCAGCTTCACCAGGTGAGTGAGGCCACAAAACTCCGACTAGGACCCAAAGAGAGAACACCTAAGGCTTGGGCTCAGACTTTGGTGGAACAGTCCAGAAACCTTCATGGCAGAGGTACCTATGGGTAACCCTTCAGTTTGCCTCTTACCAGCCTGTCTAACTGGAATGGATGACATAACATAGCCAAGTATCCAATGCTGGTGGCAATGTATACTGTATGTAAAAGCACAGTGGTCCAGAGCAGGTACGAAGTGTTCGTTCCTTTACCCTCAGTTCTTCCTCCAGCCCACCTCCACATTTTTATAGGAATGATTAGGGACCCAGCCCCCCAGCATCCTGTGTTCATGTTTCACAGGAGCTGTCAAAATAAAATGTAAAGATCCACTTCCCTAGAGACCAGGGGCCCCTTGAGGACCCAGACGTCCTCTTTGTTATTTGCAGCACCCAACACAATACTGAGCACACAGGTGTTCAACAAGTATTCTGATTATTTGACTGACTAGATGAATGAGTGAAAGAATGTATTAGGTCCCATCCTACCCGTATCCTGGCTCTTCTTTGGCACAGACCAGAACACCCCCTGGTCATTAAACCTTTCTAAGTTCCCATCTGTAGGTGATGGTGCAACCTCAGCTAATGAGGCACTCCGCATGTTCTCTGGGGACTTGTGAATGCTAGCAGAGCCGCACTGCAAGAGATGGAGGCATACGCAAGGAACAAACTCAGGCTGACATGTGCAACTGGGGGTGGCCCAAGAGCCTCTGGCAAGGAGTACAGCAAGCATGAGGTTGGAAATTGCTCCCCTTCTTAAACTAAATACAAAATAGTCCCTGGAAGAAGGGGGACTTCAGATGCTTCTTGGATGTTGGAACCAGTTCTTGATGAGCTGCGGGAAGATGCTATCAGCAATCAGTGAGGCCCAGGAGAATACTGAGAGGGGAATGGACTAATGATCCAGTAAGGTAAATATCAACTTCTGAGAGTTGGTCCCCACCCCTGGAGTATATGTGAGCAGTGAGGTGACCAGAGTCTCAGGGGAAAGGCCACACTGACAGCCAACTCTGGGTCTGATGGTAAAAGTGCTCTGCTGTGGGAGAGCACCAGCACCCAGGAGAAGGAATGGGGCTGAATGAAGCCAGTGCCTGCACAGAACTGAAGAAACTATAACTATACACGAAAAAGCCAAAGGGTTTGGCCAGATTGGACATGCTGAATGAAAAAATAGTAACTCTCTAGTAATTCAAGTCCTTGCTTGGGAGGATAATAATCAGGTAGTCTCATAAAAGTACCCCATATTCATTCTTTCCTGTTCCTCTTCAAAGGATGCATACGGAGACTGATGACAAACAACTTCCTCTCTGGAATGCAGAGCCACGTACAAAAGGTCTCTAGCCCTTGCTATGTAATACTAGGTTATGTTAAGTGCCATGGAGTCGGTTCCAACTCAGAGTGGCTAGGGTTTCTGAGGTTGTAAATCTTTACAGGGGCAGAAAGCCTCATCTTTCTCCCGTGGAACAGCTGGTAGGTTCGAACTGCTGACCGTACGATTAACAGCCCGATTCGTAACCACTACGCTACCAGAGTTCCTGCTGCTATGTAATATGATGGTAATATGATTTTCAAAAGAATAAAATAAGGCAGAAAAGGTATGATCCAAGCAGTGACTCGGTCTACATCCTGCTGACTTGGGTTTTCTGCAGCCCAGTATTTCACTGAGGGTATCCACTGAGATCAGCCTCCCTTCCCCTCCCCCAGGTCTCTACTTGGATTTACTGGTAACCTTTTTACCTCTAACTCCCCAACCTGGAAAAAGCAACCCCCACCCCCACCCCCCACTTTGCCAAGGCTCCAGAAGGTGTCACAGCACTTGTCAGTCTTACCGGTAAAGTAGTAAGCTTATTGCAGGAGAGATCCAGAACGGTGGCCTTTGGGAGAGCAGCCTAGTAAAGGTGATGAGAAAGAAAAATGTCAGATGAACCTGGAATGATTCAGTCACCTGCAAATGAAGCATGTTCCTGAGCAAGTTCCCAAGATTAAAAAAAAAAAAAAAGGGGGGGGGGGTACTAAAGTACTGCATAATGTTCCTGGGGATAGGGACCCTGTATAGAGTTTCCGAGGCTGTAAATCTTTACGGGAGCAGAAAGCCTCAGCTTTCTCCTGTGGAGCAGTGGTAGATTCACACTGTTGGCCATTCATAACCCACTAACTATGCTTCCATAGCCCCTAAGTGTTGTCGAGTCAGTTACGACCCATCTGTGACTCCACATAGAGTTTCTGAGGAGTGGCTGGTGGGTTTGAAGCACCAACTGTGCAATTCAAGTTGATCTTTTGGTCTAGTGCTTATCCTATAGCTCCATACCAAGACCTGAGAATTTGTTGTTGTTGTTAAGTGCTGAGGATGTTGTTGTTGTTAAGGGTCGTGGAGTCAGTTCCGACCCATAGAGACCCTGTATAGTTTCCAAGGAGCAGCTGGTGAGTTCAAACTGCCAACCTTGCAGTTCAAATGGCTTTACAGTCTGGCACATTAACCCATAGTGCCACATGGAAGAAAATGAGCCAGCTAACATCTACCCAGGAAAGAATGCAAAGATAGGGGTTTAGGCTGTGGAGCACTGAAGAAAGGAACTTGGACCATACCATCCCCCTTATTAAGTTTCAGGGTAGGGGATGGATATATTGCAGCTAGCGCAGGGCCAGCCTCAGAGCACACACTCCACACGTTCTGGCTGAATCACGAACGCTAAAGTGAAAACCTCTCATGGGCTTGTCTCCTTTTCCCCATGATGTTCAGGGCTGGGGTGGCCCAGCAAATTGGAGCCTTCTCACTCCCAAGGGGCAATGCTGTGCTGACCATCTGCCTGGAGTTCAAGGTTTTAGACAGCAGTCCTAGGGCCTGGCTGACAAAGGCTAGCTAGTCTTCTTCCAGGGTGGGAAGGAGGCAAACGTTCACTGATGGGCCCTAGGCCAACCTGCACTTTCCAACTGCCAGAAAATCCTATGAACAAAGTTCCACATGTTACTGTGGGGAAAGCAATGTGGGAACAGCTACATGCTATCTGCCATGCCTATTTTATGTATAATTAGAGTCAATCTTCACTTCACCCCTATGAGCTGGGAAATACTACCCATAATTTATAAATAAAGCTAGGCGTAAAGGTTAACTGGCTTGCCAAGAGCACTCGGCTATTAAGTAAAGATACTGGGATTTGAACTTGGAAATCCCTTTCTTACCACCACAAAACACTCCCACTGTGGAAATCAGATGGAGCCAAGTATGGAAAACAAATGAGAAAAGTGTAGGTCATCCAAAATGGGGGGCAGGTGGAGGGGCAGAGGATGTGGGATCTGGTTTCATTCTGGCATCCATCGCGTGGTCGTATACTATCCCTGGGCTTCAGGCCTCAGTTTCCTGAGGGTTGGGGTGGGATGGGGTAGGGGGGGGTGGGGGGGGGTGGGGTGGGGTGGGGTGAGGGTGGGCAGTAGCGCAGGGCTTCCAGCCAGTTTCTGCTCTTTGGATGAGGCCTTGCCACAGAAGCAGTGAGCCTTGAATTCTTCCAGGGAGACTGCCTTCGGGATGGGACAGCCAACAGGGATTGCTACTTCCTAGAAGAGACCAGTTCTGGGCCACACCCAAGTCTACCCGGAGGCCTACTTGCCAGATCCAGGCTTTCATTCATTTGCGAATACATCAAGCAGACGCTCCGGCGGCGCTTACTTTGGGCCAAGCACGGAGTTAGGAGCACCCCAAATAAAGGTGGACTCGCTCCTGATCCAGGCAGATTCTCCTAATCTCTTGGAGCTGCGCCAAAGTGACACGTGTACAGCCCGGATAGCACCTCGGGGACGGACGCGGCCCTGCCGGGACTTAGTACCACCCCTCTCGTTTTAAAGACAGAAAAGAAGGCAAGGGAAGGGAGCCGGCCCACACGGGCCAGGCCAGGCGCCGATGGGCTCCTGGACTTGGCGGGACTGTACTAACCAGTTCCTTGACGGGGACCTCGTTTAGGTTGCCGAGGCTCAAGTCTAGCTCGTTGCCGTCTAGCTTGTCGCGGAGGCTCCCGCCCTTGCCACCGGCCTTGGTCATTGTGACGCCGGCTGAGCGGGCCCCGGCTCCGGGGTTCTGATCAGCAAGAGAAAGAGGCTGAAAGGCCGCTCGTCTGTTCAGCGGACTCGCACCCAACCGACAACGTCTGCGACCTCCGCCGCCGCCGGGGCGAGACCGCTGCACCCTGTCCACCCGCCGGCCTCACACCGAGTCCCGCGCCCTACTCCCACCGGTGCAGTCGCGACGACTACCACTTCCGTGTCCACGTCACCTTCCGCGGCCACCGAGATGAGCAGGGCCAGAGAGACCCAAGCAAGCTCGACGGCGCCCTCTGGCACTCAGGAGAGCGCACTGCAGCCACCGCCCGTGTCGAGTCTGTTTCCTCTTGAGCAGGGGAAAGCCAGGCTCTCCCGCCTTGCCTCTCGCAGGCATCATCGTTGGGAGCGTTAGGAAATGAAAAGACACGGGACTATGCTCCACAAGACGGGTGTGCATCCAAAACTTACCTTATTGGATTACCCCCAAGACCCTCTAAGATTGCACCCCATTTCCTTCTTCCCCTATCCATTTCGGGCAAATAGATTCACACTCTGAGTGACCCTATAGGGTTGTTGTTGTTAAGTGCGTCGAGTGGAGTCGGTTGGTTTCCGAGGCTGTAAATCATTACGGGAGAAGAAAGCCTCATCTTTCTTTCTTCGGCGGAGCAGCTGGTAGTTTTGAACTGCTGACCCTGCGGTTCGCAGCCCGATTTGTAACCACTACGCTAAAAGAGCTCCTTATAGGTTAGGGTTTCCAAGGTTAAAATCTTCACAGAAGCCAACTGCGGCATCTTTCTCCCATGAAGCAGATGGTGGATTCCAATCACCAACATTTGGTTAGCAGACAAGCACTTAAGCACTGTGCTACCAGGGGCCCTTCCTTCTTACCATTCAACCCTGTATAGGTTTTCCGAGGCTGTAAATCTTTATGGGACCAGACAGCCTCATCTTTTTCCTGTGGAGCAGCTGATGGATTTGAACTGTCGACCTTGTGATTAGCAGTCCTGTGCTTATCCTACAGTGCCACCAAGGCTCCTTCTTACCAAGCATCCAGAAAATGTGACCTCCTGAATTTCTCCTCTCCTTCCCACTGGCTCAGTCCTTGTCCAGTCCACCATGAACTTATGCCCGATTTACTCTAAACTCTTGTATAATCTTCCCTCCCATTCATCCAGCTGCCAGGATAGTCTTTCTAAATATCTAGCCAAGTCACTCCTATGCTTAAAATCTCCAACTGTCTCTGGGATATGAACCAAACTCCTTTCTCGGCTGGTTTGGCCTGCTGGTGCAGCCTCCTCACAAGTCCATGCTCTGCCAGGACTTGACTCTGTGTATACTTGTTGTCATCACCTCCACGCATACCAGTCTTCTGGAACCACCTGCCTTCCTCACACACCTTCTCTGCCTGGCTAATTCCTAGAGTCCTTTAGGAAACCTCCTCAGACTAAACCCCACGGCTGAGGGAAATGCCTCACTTCAGGGTCCTGTATGGCTGAAATATCAGAGATGCTAGAACTTCATGCTAAGATGGGGCACTAGAATTGGTATTAATCCTCACTCTGACACTTACTAGTTAGGAAACTTGGGAGCAAATTCACCACTAGGCCTCGTTTCTCCATCTGTGGATATATGAGAAATGTAGCTAATAATGGGACCTAACCCATAAAATTTGGGGAGGATTGAGTGAGTAAAACATGAAGCACTTATAGCAGTGACTAACAGTAAGTATCCAATAAATATTAGCTGTAATTCATATTCCACTTCATTTTATACTAATTTTTATGTGTCTGTCCTTCACTCTGAACTGTAAGTTACTTGAGGGCAAAGATTTTGTCTTAATCATCTTTGTACTCCAGCATCTAAGTGTTTGATGCATGTTGCTGTTGTGAGCAGGTGTGTCATGTAGTCGCCTCTGACAGAGCAAAGCACCACCCAGTCTTGAACTGTCTTCACAATTGTTATGTTTGAGGCCATCCTTACAGGCATTGCACCAATGCATCTAGTTAAGGGCGTCCTCTTTTTTGCTGACTCTCTTTTGTTGTTATTGTTAAGTGCCATTGAGTCAGTTCTGATTCATGGTGACCCTGTATAGGGTTTCTGAGGCAGAAAGGGTTACAGAAGCAGAAAGTCTTATTTTTCTCTCACAGAGCAGTTGGTAGATTTGAATTGCTGACCTTGCAGTTAGCAGCCCAATTTGACTCTCTACTGAAAAAATGAACGAAATAAAAAATCAGAAGGAAGCCTGAGATTCGTGTGGAACACCATAAAGAGGAATAACCTATGCGTGATCAGAATTTTAGAACGAAAAGAGACAATAAAAAACACGGAGAAAATAGTCAAAGAGTTGCTGAAAACAAAACTTCCCTAACATCCTGAAAGACGAGAAGATAATCAAGAAGTGATGAACCCCAAACAGAGTAGAACTCCAAAGAAAGTCACCAAGATATATCATAATTATACTTTCCAAAACCAAAGACAAGGAAAGAATCCTGAAAGCAGCTTAGGAAAAACCGACACACACAAAAATCCTACAGAGGAGAACCAATGGACTAAGTTTTGGTTTCTCAGCAGAACCTGTGCAGGCAAGAAAGTAATGGGAAGATAACATGCAAAACTTTTTTTCTTAGTAAAGAAAAAAAAACTGCCAAGCAAGAATCATATACCCCACAAAGTTGCCCCTCAACTACAACGGTGAAATTAGAGCATTTTCAGATAAACAGAAACTAAAGGAATTTGTAATAATCAGGCCAACTTTATAAAAAATACCAAATGGTGTTCTTTGGACTGAGAACCACCAATAGCACCAACAACAACCTGAGATCACCATACATGACACCACCACCCAGAACTCAATTAAGATATCGAAATATCCAAAGTAAAACAAATCTACAAGATTGAAATAGGGAACCAGAGATATCAATTTATAGTGAAGTCAACTACAAAGCAAAATGAGTGAATAGTACAGATACGAAACCTCCAAGTGGTGAGGTAGTCAAGTAGATTTTGAAATAAAATAGACTGTTTACATGGGGAAATTTTCAAATAAATTACAGGATAACCTCAAAGAAAATTAATACACTGTTTGGTAAGGTGAAGGGTCAGAGAAAAAGAAGAAGACCCCAGTGAAATGGATTGGCAAAGTGGGCTCAAGCGTGGCAACAATTGTGATGTTGGCCCAGGACCGGGCAATGTTTCATTCTGTTGTGCATAGGATCGCTATGAGTCGGTACCGACCCTATGGCACCTAACAACAACATCTAAATAAAAAACAGGAAAATAATAAAGGTTTGAGAAACATTAAAAGAACAGCAATGAAGAATATGAAAGGAAAACCCACAAACAAAATGAACTCAGCCCAGAACTTTATGTGGAACAAAGAAACTAGCAACACACACACACACAAAACACAAAACACACAGCAAAATTACAGCAATCAATTCATACCTACAGATAATTACCTTGAATGTAAATGGATTAAAGGTACCACTACATACACACTATAGAATACTACTTAACTATGAAGATTAATGATAAGTCAGTGAAATACCTCATAATATGGATAAACCTGAAGGACATTATGCTGAGTAAAATCAGTCAAACACGAAAGACCAAATAGTGTATGAGACCACCACTGTAAAAAGTTAAGAAAAGGTTTTCTTGTTAAACATTCTATGATGGTTACCAGAGGTGGAAGAGAAAGGAAAATTGTTCACAGGGTGGATAGACACATGTTACCCTGAGTGATGGGAAAGGCAGTATACAACAAGGGAGGCTGGCACAGGAAAGATGAAGGTAGTGGAAAACACAAGAAAGAGTGCAAGAGTTAAAGCGAATAGAGATAAATACTCTTAACTGATGGTACAGGGAAGGGATTGCAATCATTGTAATGACACAAAGTGTATGGTTTGTTGAATGTGGAATTGATGATCTGTTCTGTAAACCTGTACTCAATTCACAATAAAAAGTTTTAAAATAAAGCTGGAAGGAAAAAGAAAGGTGAATTCACTTTGGGGAATATCTTGGGGGAGAAGGCGAGCTTTCTGGGAAGGAGAAAGAAATCAGAAAACCCTCCATGGAGGAGGTGGCATTTAAATTGGACTTTGAAGAATGAGTCCAATTCAGAGATGTAGCGATACAACCTGGAAAGCAAAACATTTGAGGGGAGATTTTCTCTGATCCCTAAGGTTGGAAACAATAGTTCTGTGAATAAGTGAAGCTAATTGTCCTGTAGGCAGCCCCCTAACCAAGTGTCATCTCGTGCCTGGATGTCAGAGGTTGTTGAGGAGCTGCCTAAGAAAAGACAAGTAGCAGCTGCCCTTGAGAAGTCAAAGACCAGACCTGGAGTGATGTAGCAGATTCCCAAGAAAAGCTTGGGCATCAGGCTAGTGGTGCCACCATCGTGGGAAATCACTCCTCCACTCCAATCTTCTGTTTCCCCCTCTGTAAGATGGAGATAATATATTGGGAAGCATGCCAAAGGCCCACAGGCAGACATGAGTGAGAGAGAGGCAATGAGCAGACATCACAAGTCAACCTTTCTTAGGGCAGTTTACACCTTTCACTGGTGGTCTCCTCAGCAGGAAATGTGTTCAAAGGAGATTCAAACAGGCTAAGGACTGGCGTCCCCAAAGTCTGTTGTAATTCAAATTATCTGTTTACATAGTTCATTTATTTAGATTTGCTTTAAGTACCTTCACATGTAAAAAGAGATGCATGTCCCCTGGTAAGCCAGTCCTTCCCAGAGTACACTGCAAAAACAATGCCATTTGGATTAAAAGTCCAAACAAGATCTTTGTTGTATTTGTTGTTGTTGTTGTTGTTTTAACCACTCGTCTGTCAGTTTGTCGTACTGTGGTGGCTTGTGAGTTGCTGTGATTCTGGAAGCTATGCCATGGGTATTTAAATACCAGCATAAGAGACAATTATACACATGAACCTCACCAGATGGAATACACAGAAATCAAATTGACTACATATATGGAAAAGCCAAAACAAGGCCAGGGGCAGATTGTGGAACAGACCATCAATTGCTCATATGCAATCTCAGACTGAAGCTGAAGAAAATGAAAACAAGTCCACAAGAGACAAAATATAACCCTGAATATATCTTGCCTGAAATTAGAGATCATCTGAAGAACAGACTTGAAACTAAAGACC